GGCGCCACGAGACTGGTGCTTGCGTTCGTCTACAGAGAGCCCCACTGCGACGAGCCGGACGAGCGGCCATCTTTTGTCAAGGATGTCCATTTCATGTACGTGGCAGCCGGGCTGTTCTGGATCTCAGGACTGGTGACTGTGGTGGTTAGCCTCTGCACCCCTCCACCGAGCATAGAGCAGGTCCGCACCACTACCTTCTGGGGGCTACGCCAAAGAAACACAACCCCAAACATAGAGAGAGACGAGGAGGAGATGAGCAAGCTGAACCCCCAAACTCAGACCCATGTCAATGGGAATGGCTGCATGGACAAGGAGACGCCCAAAGACCTCCATAACGGTGTCAATGGGGTGGAGGCTTTATCCCATATGGAGGCTCCATCTAATCTCCCAAATGGCGACCACCTGACCTTTTCAAGCACCGGAATGGAGGCAGACCAAGAAGAGCCTTGGGTGGTCTGCTGTGGAGGAGGAGAGAAGGGGAGGTGTGTGAGGGTTCTAGAGTGGTTCTGTGGGTTTAAGGAGGAGCCGGTTAAGACTCCACCCAGATCAGCCCAGGAGGAAGAGAGGCTTTTGCATGAGATGCTCCAGGAGACCCCCAGAACCAGACTCATCCTCAACATGGGCCTGGTGCTGGTCTGCTCTGTGGGGGTGTTCCTCTTCATCTACTTCTCTTTGTAGGAGGGGATCTCAACCTGTGACATATACCATATAGTTTATATGTAATATGTCTACTTGTGACATCTAAGTTTATATGTAATATGTCTACTTGTGACATCTAAAGAAGTGTTTCTTAACTTGGGTTTTGGGGTGGCCTACACTCAGGAGAGTAGTTCCAGCCCATTGAATCAGCTTGAGCTGGGCTAGAACAAAAATTTCCAACCTTGGTGGTACTCCAACCTGGACTCAGGGGTAGACGTAACAAAGGAAACGTAAATCTAGTATGATATGTTACGTTTGGTATGGTACAGTGCCTTCAGAAAGTATTCACACCCCTTGACTTTTTCAAAATGTTGTTGTTACAAAGTGGGATTAAAATTGATTTAATTGCCATTTTTTGTCAACGATTTACACAAAATACTAATGTCAAAGTGGAAGAAAAATTCACAACAAATGAAATGTATTAATGGAAAATAAAACACTAATATATCTTGATTAAATAAGTGTTCAACCCCCTGAGTCAATACATGTTAGAATCAGTCTTTATGGCTAAGTCTCGAAGAGCTTTGCAAACCTGGATTGTACAATATTTGTCCCATTATTCTTTTTTAAATTCTTCAAGCTCTGTCAAGTTGGTTGTTGATCATTGCTAGACAACCATTTTCAAGTCTTGACATAGATTTTCAAGCAGATTTAAGTCAGAAACATTCAATGTCGCCTTGGTAAGTAACTCCAGTGTATTTTTGGCCTTGCGTTTTAGGTTATTGTCCTGCTTAAAGGTGGATTTGTCTTCCAGTGTCTGTTGGAAAGCAGACTGAACCAGGTTTTTCTCTAGGACTGCCTGTGCTTAGCTCTATTCCTTTTCTGTTTATCCTAAAAGCATACCCATTCATTCATTTAGCAGACAATTGTATCACACCATAGTGCTATCAGAAAGGGGGGCCAAAAAATGTGAACTGCTATCAAAAATGGTATAGAAAAGTATTTTGTATTTTGACAATACAAATTACAGTATTTAGAAAATACAAAATACATTGGAGTGTAGTTCAGCTCAGTGTAAGTCACATTACAAAATACTCAGAAGGAATTAAAATAAGTATTTCAAAGACAACTAACAGAAATACTGTCCATCTTTGCCTGTGGTTTCAGGCTGCCAGCTACGCTACTCTCAACCGGACCTAGATATAGAAGACAGAATAATATTAGAAGAAGTCCCCCCTGTAATGGAATAATACTGCCTGAATCGGTACCACTTTCTGTGGTAGAGTCAAAAAAGGTGCAAATGAATGTTACAGTATTAGCCCAAGCACGTTCCTGCTGTCAGACTATTTGCATAATGCAAGAAAAGGAGTTAATGGTGGTATTGCAGGAAAATAAGTCCTGTGTGTATTCATCCCCTCAGCCCACAGTGTCCTGGTGTGCCTGAGGTCAGAAATAGCCCAGTGGGTAACCGGTGTCCTGAAAAGACCCAAGATTGACGCCATGGTCTGGTCTGTAGGGAGCCACTGATGTGTGTAAACCAGCACAGGAGCACCTGGTTAAACAGCAGTATGGAACTGGGGACTGGTGTGGGCGTGGGCACTACTTTGCTGCTGGCCTAGTGCTTGTTGTCACTAATAGCCCACCACTCTCAAATGGTTTTAATTAAGGTTCAGTGCCATATAGGCTACGTTTAAGCAAGCAGCCCAATTCTGATATTTTTTTTTACACTAATTGGTCTTTTGACCAATCACATCAGATCTTTTCACATCAGATCTTTTTCAGAGATGATCTGATTGGTCAAAAAGACAATTAGTGAAAAAAAGATCAGAATTGGGCTGCCTGTGTAAACACAGCCGTATTAGTTTACTGTATGATCTCTTGCAACATGAAGGTAAAATGAGTGAAAGAAGAGCATCCAGAAAACGAGGATTATAACCAGCTAACTGACTGTGACTTCGAAACGACCAACAAGGAAACAAGGTAGAGAGACATCACTAACACAACCCTTCCCTTCTACTGTTTACTGTTTAGAAGTCTGGGGAAGTTTAACCACATTCCACAACTTGTTTCCACAACTTCCACTGTGTTGTGTAGGCTTATAATTATATTTGCCTATTTAGTGTTACATACTGGAATCCATAGCAGACTGACAGAATCCAATGACCAACCATAGATGATCATCTATCTGCAAGCAACTACCGAAATAAAGTCAGACTTACTCAGTTTAGCGCTGATGTTATCAGTGTATGTTATTAGCCTCAGATCCGTTTGAGGAAGTGGAGTGGAAAACTGTTTGTGTACTCAAGGTGGAGCATCGTGGTGGCATTTCCTAGCAACCGTGACATGTATTGGTTTATCCTTTGATGTTTGAATTATCATGCGTTTAATTGTTGAATGAGAATGTAGGCAGTTTGAGCAAAGACACTGGTAACTTCTGTGGTTTGAGTGTGCATTGATTGAGAGTAGTCTACAGCAGTGTTTCCCAACCCAGGTCCACGAGTACCCCACCAGGTCCACGAGTACCCCCAAAACTACAGTTTCGTTGTAGCCCTTGACAAACACACCTCATTCAATTCATTGAGGGCTTGATGATTCCTTCACAAGTTGAATCAGGTGTGCTTGTCCAGGGTTACAATACAAATGTTTACTGTTAGGGGTACTCGAAGACCAGGGTTGGGAAACGCTGGTCTACAGTAGCTACTGTAACAGATCAAGAGAACTGCTGCCCCCTGGGGACATTTTCTAGTATTGCATCAGCATCTGATATCGATACTTATTTTACTAAATAGATGAAATGTTTATTTACAAAAGTATACAGTAATGAATTTAAACAGCCTTATAAACATGCTTAATAGGAACATTAAACAGTCACTGCTCTGTTTACCTTTTGTCCCCTAATATCTCCACATAACTTAACTATCAGACTGTTTATGTATGTTAATGTGAAACCCATCTTATCATACAGACAAACACAGGTACCTTGTCTACTAGCAAAGTGATTGTCTTCTCAGGCACTTGTGAGGATTGATAAAGAAAATAAAGCTGCATTTAAACATTGCACATATCTTGGTATTGTTTTGTCTGACATTGGAGCAAGCGTTCATATTCAAGTATAATTCAATAATTACACAAATAGTCATAGTAATACGATTATCACACATGCAACTAGCTGCAGTGTTGTAGTGCTGGGCATGATAAAAAGATTCCATGAAGAGTTCCATGTGATTTTTGTAATAGCTTCAGCACACCCTGAACCTGAACCTCACAGAAAGAATTATCAATTGACGACAATGGAATGAAACCGCAGTAAAACGGTGTGAAGCAACTCTGTAAAAAACCAACCCAACTTTCTATTTCTGACAGAGTTAAGATCAGAGGAAGGATTATACTTATTGGTTTGAGATTTGCCACACTGAACATGGATCCATATGTCTATCGATCAATGGTAAACTAATTTATTTCAGTCCGCGCCTGGATATCTTTATCGGCAATGAATAAGACTTAACAGGGAATTCGACAATCAGTAACCTTTCGTTGTAATCTATTATAAACCTATTAAACATTTTGGGAGTCTTTTACTCCATCTGAAAATGAAAGAGAGACATCAAATCCAGCCCAAGTTTGACATTCAAAATAAAACAGTAAAGCACATTTTCACACATACATACTACAATTGTAAATAAGACTAACATACAGGCAACTGCCAAAATAAAGGAAACCCCAACATAGTGTCTTAATAGGGCGTTGGGCCACCACGAGCCAGACCTGCTTCAATGCACCTTGGCATAGATTAGATGCGAAAAGATGAGACACCATTCTTCAACAAGAAATTCCATCATTTAGTGTTTTGTTGATGGTGGTGGAAAACGCTGTCTCGGGCACCGCTCCAGAATCTCCCATAAGTGTTCAATTGGGTTGAGATCTGGTGACTGAGACGGCCATGGCATATGGTTTACATAGTTTTCATGCTCATCAAACTGTTCAGTGGCCACTCATGCCATGTGAATGGGGGCATTGTCATCCTATGGGGCCACAGCAGCCAGAATTTGTATACATGACCCCTAAGTATGATGGGATGTGAATTGCCTAATTAACCCAGGAACCACACCTGTGTTGAAGCACCTGCTTTCAATATACTTTGTATCTCTCCTTTACTCAAGTGTTTCCATTATTTTGACAGTTACATGTGTCTGCATCAGTTGTATGCTAACAAATGAGTCAAATGTACATACATACTTTTTTATGTGCGCTTAAACTCAGATCTCCCTCATCCTGTTTGGGAGTGTATTACATAAGTGTGCTGTCCAGCTACATGAGCAGGCCGTCATTACTTTTCTCTACTATATTTGTGGGTGAACTTCCTACGTCCTTCTCTTCATCCCATCCTCCTCTCCTCCCTTGTCTTCCTCCTCTCTTTCCTCGCCCGTCAGTTGGGGGCACCTTCGCTGAGAGGAGTGGAAGTGTGTCCCTTTAACTGCAGGTGTCACAGTGTATCCCTTCGCAGTAAAAATGTTCCCACTCCGCGCGGGGTCAGTAGCGTCCCCGGCCCCCTCTGGACATGGTGAGGGGTAGTGAGACAGAGGAGAGAGAAGATACTTCCCAGTATAAGCTACGGGACAGGAAAAGCTGGTAGAGGATCACCACCGAGATAGCCTGGCATATAATCACACCGATTGTCACCACCTAGACACACAAACATCAACACCAAAAACCTTCAGAATGAGTCAGTACAATATCTCTATGGAGTGTTTCTCTCTGATGAAACAGGAAGCACCTGAGCTCAATGTTGAGTCTCATAGCAAAGGGTCTGAATACTTATGTAAATAAGGTATTTCTGTTTTAGATTTTTAATAAATGTGCAAAAGTTTATAAACTTTAATTTTAGAATAAGGCTGTAACGTAACAAAATGTGGAAAAAGTCAAGGGGTCTGAATACACTGTACATATATCTATGTGGAGTGTTTCTCTCACCTTTTCTCTCTGATGCTCGTTGAAGACCACAGAGAGAAGGACCAGGACAGGGTGGCACAGGAACCAGATAAAACAACCCTGAGAAACAAGCTAGTGAGACTGGAATAACAAATCTTATAATGCACTGTAGATGGCACTATAAACGCATGGAAAGGGTTGCCAGCTATTCATGAGTTGTATTTCTACGCCTACCTTGGCGAAGCTGAGGTAGAAGTCTCTCTTGAGGGCGCTCCTCTCTGTGCTGATGATTGTGTAGAGCACAGAGGCCAGCAGCAGGGCCAGGATGATACGTAGAGCTATGAGTAACAGACCCGCTATGCTGCGCTGGGCGTGGTAGCTGTGGTGCTCCGTCTCCTCATACTGCTCCCACAGCAGCAGCGCCCCCTAGCAGCCCGGCAGCGACACAGACAGGGAGTCAGTGGAAAGGTATTTAGGTCATTGGTATTGAATGTGTTTTTATTGACTGATCCAAAGGGGAAATTGTATTGGTCAGAATAGGGGGTTACCGTATTGGTCAAGATAGGGGGGTTACAGTATTGGTCAGGATAGGGGGCTTACAGTATTGGTCAGGATAGGGGGGTTACAGTATTGGTCAGGATAGGGGGGTTACAGTATTGGTCAGGATAGGGGCTTACTGTATTGGTCAGGATAGGGGATGGTGTGAGCAAGGTAGAGGTTAGTGTGAGAGTAGTAGGAGCTACTGTATCCAGTGAAATGGAAGTTAGTGTGACAGTCAGGGCTTAGTATTTCGGGGTAAGGGGTTAGAGGTCATGGATAGGCTGATGAGGCTCTGACCTGTGTGGCGACCCCTCCCATAGCGAGGGCTTTGGAGGCGGGGGAGGAGTCCCACTGCAGAGGTCTGCTCTGGGGCTTCCTGTTCTTGCTCAGGGTCCAGCCCACACACAGACTCAGCAGCATGTACAGCATGGACACCTGGGACACCATGTCACAGACTGCAGCATGGGAGAACAACAACAGGCAACACAGTCACAACGGAAGAACGAAAGACAATGCAAAGAAAGAAGCAAGAGAGATTGAGAGAGTGAGAATACAACACTCACACTCTGCCAAGCTGCCCATGATAGGAATGCCCACTCCGTCCCTGGCATACCTGTGGGAAGACAAAGACAGGTGTGTGTTTTTACACAACAAGACTGATATTCACTCACCCAAATCTCCTGAAATACAGGATAATCCTGTAATACAGTAACTGATGTAAACCTGAGCAGGGCTGCTGAAAGGTGACTGTGACAATGACTGGGACAAAGTCTCACTCACCTGGCCAGGTGGATGTAGTTGAAGAGGGCAGAGACCCCTTGTAGGGCCAGGGCTGTGGAGAGCACCTTCAGCACCGTGTGCATGGGCCCACCCTTCCTCAGGGCCATCCACAGGGGCTGTATGTAGATACAGGACGCCACAAAGTAGGCCAGGATCAGCAGGCAGTAGAAACTATGCAGGCCTGGTAGGAAGGTGGGTCAGGGGGGGGGTAGGAAGGAGGGTGGGTCAGGGGTAGGGAGGAGGGTGGGTCAGGGGGTAGGGGGTAGGGAGGAGGGTGGGTCAGGGGTAGGGTGGGAGGAGGGTGGGGTAGGGAGGAGGGTGGGGCAGGGTGGGGTAGGGGTGGGCGAGGGGGGGGTAGGGGTGTGGAGGACACAATCAGTCAAGCATTCAGTGCAGTCCTGTCTGGACACTTAGTCATACCTTCAATTCAGAAGTATAATATTGTGTGTTATGACTAGCAGACACTTAGCAGACACGTTCATCCATTATAGTGCACCAAATGCATATATTAAAGTATGTGCATGTGATCCCTGCAGGAATTGAACCCATTACCTTGCCGTACAGTACGGTACTGACCTGCCTCCTCAGCGCTGAAGTGTTCCAGGGGGTTGCCTGCTGAGTCAGGGTTGAACAGCAGGATGGTGAAGGTCAGGTCCCCTTGGGCAGGGATGATGCCCCCCTCCCCGCAGGTGTAACGGTCTGCATACAGGGCCATCCAGGCCGTGGGGGAGTGAAGGTGGGGGATGCTCTGGTTGTGCTCCTCCTCATTCAGACGGACTGACCACAGAGAGGGAAACAATGTTAGGAGGGAGACAAGCTCTAGGCTTTCGCTCAGAGGGCTAATGTGGCCTTAAGTCATGCAGACGACCAAGGTTTGATAACCAGTCGGTTACACATGCAGACGCAACATACTGCAAGTACATTCAGAATATGTCCTGTAAATGCATGGCTGATGGCATTTATGCCACTTCCCCAAATGACTCTTGTTTATGAATGCATGTTTACTACGAGCCAGCGGGACTTACATGACATGAATGCAAACAACAAACAATACATGTGACTCCTTGAGTAAATCAATCTCAGCTGTAGGTGACAGTCACAGAGACAGACTCACTGGAGAGATGTGCCTTGGAGAGGCGGTCGTGGCAGCTGAGGTTGTCGATGTCGAAGCCTTCCTCCATCTCTGGGAAGAGCAGCAGTCTGGACTCCTTCTCCGTGGCCAGGGGAGCGTTCTCCAGCCTGCACACCACCAGACCACTACCCTCTGGAAAAGAGAGAGACAGAGGGAGGGAGGGAGAGACGAGAGGGTGTGAGAAGAAGAGGTCGTGGAAGTAGAGGGGAGGAGAGAGAGAAAGAGGGAATGAGGGAAGAGGTCTGACAGGGCACTAAATCCACCTTTCAGAGAATTGGGTTTCATTCTAACCTACAGAATATGCTGACCATCTGTGATAAGCGAAGGAGCTCTATTGATTCTAATGTACTGCCTGGCTATCACACTTGGCAACATGTTCTACCGGGGAACAGAATGACATTGCCGATGCTCATGGGTCTGGACTGCATAGACCTATGTGATTTGATCTTTGAACCCAACTCAACAAACATCTTCCCACGATTTCCCGTTTAAGATTGCAATGGACACAGAAAATACTTTCTGAGACAATGATGCATAACACCATGCAAGAGATTAGCACTTTCCAGACTGAGAACACATGATCTGTTACTTCCTTATGTACATTAGCATTGCAACTACAGTCTATATAAAACATCCCAATAATAAAATGCATCACGTCATCTTGGTGCATGTGTATCCATCCACACAAGCCTCCACCGGAATGTGTCGCTAGCTTCAAACTGCTAAATTGCACCTACCGCTGTACATGAATTTAGTGATGTACTGTCCATTCTGCTCCCTGGCTGCATCGCTCTTGAAAACTCCCGACACCGTTTTTCCAAATGTAGCTGGAATGCATAGTAAGAAGGCTGTAAGTGTGAACATTAACGGATACATTGTCTCCTAAAAGCTAATTATCAATATAGAGCTAAAGAAGATGATTGTACAACAACAATGAATGGACTAGTAAACCAGGGTGAGTTCCATCTGCACTGAACGTTTGATTGATTTAGGTTTTACCTAATCATAGAAGGACCTTCGACTACGTCAAAGCTGTAAGCCAATCAGAGAGCGATAAAAGGGTGGGCACCCAAAACGGACCAACTCAACGCAGGCCTCGGATACGTGTCAACATTGCCGTAAAGCGAAATAAGACTGTCGCAAAAGTTCCACATTACATTTTGCTTATGTGGTTTGTACAGTATCAGCTGCTTCTGACATGAACTGGTGACAACACAAACATCTGAATAACGATATCTAACTGTTCGTTAACGTGTTGTCGATATGCTTTGCTTTAGAATGGCCTCAATCACTTAAAATCACTTCCCGCATATAGTTTCTGAGATTATCTCTTGTTTACTCAACAATAAGACACTCTCCAGCACAGGTAAGCTAGTTAGCTAGCTAAAGTCGGCAGAACTTATGTCACTAGGAGAGTGCCTTTGGGCTTCAATGAAAACTGAAGATCCAGGAGAAAAGTTGTGAGAAGACATCAACAGGCTGTGGGAGAATGGACTTTGTCAAAACGGTCCTGGTGACTGGAGGGGCAGGTTTCATGTAAGTAACAGTTAGCAAATCATCATCATCATCATAATGACAATCAGTAGTGTTCTGACAAAGACTTAAACTACAGAAAAAAAGCCAGTTGAATCTACAATGTATGTAAAATATGGGATTTTATTGCATACTATACATGTTTCATCTGTAGCTCTTTCCCCATACAGTGGGTCCCATTTTGCCTGCTCCCTAGTCAACAGGCATCCAGATTGGCGCATCATCAACTTTGACAATGTGAGTAGTAGCTAAATGTGCTTTCCTGTAACTACAGATTCAAGCCCTGTTCAAGCTGGGCCCTCTCCTTCCCTTTGCAGCCAAGGTACAACATAGACATGGAACACTGGTCACTTGAATGTTTACATACTGTTTTACCCACTTCATATGTATATACTGTATTCTAGTCAAGGCCATCCTATTCAACTATTGCTGTACATATACTATTCTATCCTACGTATTCTTCAGATATACTACATATTCTATCCATATACTGTCCATAATGACAGTAGTCCAGCTGTCCATATATATTTATACTTGGACTCCGACATTGCTCGTCCTAATATTTATATATTTCTTAATTCCATTCTTTTACTTTTTTAGATTTGTGTGTATTGTTAGATATTACTGCACTGTTGGAGCTAGGAACACAAACATTTCACTACACCGTCAATAACATCTGCTAAATATGTGTATGCGACCAATAAAATGTGATTTGATTTGACAACACATTTCACTGCACCAATCCGGTGTATGTGGCAATAAAACAACTAAAAAACACGCTAAAAAACAACAAAGTGAAGCTTATTTCCTGCACACCCTGACTACTACACTATGTAACTGCAGAATTCCAAATTGTCATCATTTCCTGGTCGTGATTCTGTAACTTTTCCTGGTCCCATACAGCTGGACTACTGTTCCAATCTCAGGAACCTGGAGTCTGTCGAGGAGAAAGAGAACTACACCTTTATCAGGGTGAGAGAACTGCCAAGTCATACTGTTATGCAACGATACTGTATATGAAGTGCCAGTGTTACGAGACAGGGATGTCCTCTCTCCCCTCCTGTTTGCACTGGCAATTGAACCGCTTGCAGAAATAATTAGACAGGACCCAAACGTAACAGGTATCCGTATTGATAAACATGAATATAAACTTCTTTACAGACGATCTTCGGCTATACCTGACTATTATTGAAACTCAATGTCCCCCTTGTTTTCGGAATACTCTAAAATCTCAGGATATGAAATTAACATGGAAAGAAACCTGAAATAATGGCAATAGCAAAAACTTCTGAGCTACAGTAATCCTTTAAGTGGACCACAAAAAATATAAAATACTTAGGATGCTTAATAAGTGACAACAAACAACACATATATAAAGATAACTTTATCCCATTACTCAACAACAGGAAAGCAGATCTAATTAAATGGAACAATCTCCCCATAAATCTTACAGGTAGAAAAACCTCTTTAGAATGGCTTCCAAAGTTTTTATATTTATACTGAACACAAATATAAACGCAACATGCAACAATTTCAAAGATTTGAGTTACAGTTCATATAAGGAAATCAGTTAATTGAAATAAATTCATTAGGCCCTAATCTATGGATTTCACATGACTGGGAATACAGACATGCATCTGTTGGTCACAGACACCTTTAAAAAAAGGTAGGGGCGTGGAAAAGAAAACCAGTCCGTATCTGGTGTGACCACCATTTGCCTCATTCAGCATGACACATCTCCTTCGCATAGAGTTTATCAGGCTGTTGATTGTGGCCTGTGGAATGGTGTCCCACTACTCTTCAATGGCTGTGCGAAGTTGCTGGATATTGGCGGGAATTGGAACACGCTGTTGTACACGTCGATCCAGAGTGTCCCAAACATGCTCGATGGGTGACATGTCTGGTGAGTATGCAGGCCATGGAAGAACTGGGACAGTTTTAGCTTCCAGGAATTGTGTACAGATCCTTGCAACATGGGGCCATGCATTATCATACTGAAACATGAGGTGATGGCGGCGGATGAATGGCACGACAATGGGCCTCAGGATCTCGTCACGGTATCTCTGTGCATTCAAATTGCCATTAATAAAATGCAATTGAGCATGTTTGGGATGCTCTGGATAAACGTGGACAATTGTGTTGTTGTCCGTAGCTTATGCCTGCCAATGCCATAACCCCACCACCACCATGGGGCACTCTGTTCACAACGTTAACATCAGCAAACCGCTCACCCACATGACACCATACACGTGGTCTGCGGTTGTGAGGCCGGTTGGACATACTGACAAATTCTCTAAAACAACGTTGGAGGCGGCTTATGGTAGAGAAATTAACATTACATTCTCTGGCGATCAGCTCTGGTGGACATTCCTGCAGTCAGCATGCCAATTGTACGCTCCCTCAAAACTTGAGACATCTGTGGCATTTAGTTGTGTGACTAAACTGCACATTTTAGAGTGGCCTTTTATTGTCCCCAGCACAAGGTGCACCTGTGTAATGATCATGCTGTTTAATCAGCTTCTTGATATGTCACACCTGTCACGTGATGGATTATCTTGGCAAATGAGAAATGCTCACTAACAGGGATGTAAACACATTTGTCCACAAAATTTGAGAGAAATAAGCTTTTTGTACGTATGGAACATTTCTGGGATCTTTTATTTCAGCTCATGAAACATGGGACCAACACTTTACATGTTGCATTTATATTTTTGTTCAGTGTATTTTCGGTTATACCAATTACCCCACCTAAGACGTTCTTTACAAATGTATACTCGGCCATAACAGACATTTAACATCTTCCTAAGTCAGAGGGTGGTTTTAACCTTGCAGATTTGGAATTGTATCAACTCGCCACCCAAGGCTTTTACTTGCGACTTGTTGTTAAATGCATTAAAGAGGAACAATGGGTACATATTGAAAATGTGCACGCTCATCCCCAGAATCTTTCCACGTGTCTGTTTTCAAAGGATGGAGCTAAGAACATGATCAACTGCATAGTTAAGAACACTGTAACAACATGGAAGAACATTTAACGGATTCTACAAGAACCAATATCACTCCCTATGGAACAATCCTTGGATAGCTTTTCAGAATTCACGGATAAATTGGCCCGCATGGAAAACTAAAGGCAGAGAAACCATAAATTACGTGGTTATAGGAAATACAATTATTTACATGAAATAATTAAAAAGCAATTTTGGACTGACCAATGTAGACATTTTCAAATAAATGCAACTTAAACGTTTTATATCACAAAATTTTGACCTGAAAGCTGTGTGTGTCAGAAAAAGATACTCATATGAAAGATAATAAATACAAAACCTTGCAGAAAGCCTATCCAACTGACAATCTCTTAGAAAAAAATAAAATAACTATTGGAACCAAGACTTAAAATGAACTGATATTGGCACAAGATGGAGGGAGTGTTGGAACATAACGAACAAAATTATAGTTAATGACAATGTACGCTTAATCCAGTATAAACTCATGTATAGAATGTATTATACAAGAGACACCATTCACAAATTCTACAGCACAACGGCAGAGTCAAGTCTTAAGTGTAAAACTAACAATGACTCAATAATTAATGCCTTCTGGGAGTGCTATAAAGTCCAAAAGTTATGGGCGGAGTTAGAAAGCTGGCTGTCAGAAGTTGTACAATGTAAAACATGGCAAATGGGGGTGCGGTGAGATACCCAATGGGTTGGACAATTATATTGAAGAACCGATTACTTAAATACTGGAAGTCAAATGATACTCCAACTTTAAGAGAATGGAAGAATCAAATGCTTTATTATTTAAATATTGAACAAAACCTGGCTACAGACAGAAACAACATAACACAATTTGAAATTATATGGGGCAGAGTCTTAGAAGCATTAGAAAGAACATTGGGTGTGGTTACAGTGGGAACATTTGGGTCTGAGCAAGTGTGATGTCATTAATGTTTGTGGAAATGATTGTATGTTAAGCTGTTTATTGTTTTTGTCTATGTATGTTTTTGTTTGTTGTAAAAAAGTGTGTGTTACACAGTGTTACTAATCATTAATCATAAAGACTTTTAGCTTGTAGATGTGTCATGGTTTGTCCCTTTTTAACAGGGGGATATATGCAATCCACACTTGGTAAACCACATCTTTGCCACAGAAAACATTGACATCGTCTTTCACTTTGCGGCTCAAACACATGTTGGTAAGAAATTAAGTTGTTCTGTTTAAATTGTGTTACCATGCCAAAACAACCATAGACATTGTTGACAACACTCAGTGACTCATAGAGCAAGACATTCATCCATATCTTTCTGTGCCCCCTTTTTCAGAGACGTCCTTCGTATGGCCGTCCAGATACCACATGGTGAACGTGGAGGGGACACGGGTGCTACTGAAAGCAGCTTTTGAGGCCAAGGTGGAGAAGTTTATTTACATTAGCACAGATGAGGTGTATGGAGAGAGCCTGTATAAGGTCAGTCCACTCATATCATTTTCACTGATATCCTGACATAATTATTGTAACTTATAAGGTGTAACGCCACATTTACATTTGACGTTTTTGAGAGCCACTTCTCAACTTCTTTTGCGACTTTTCAAGGTTCTCTGTCTGCAGTACTGTCAGTCCCCGGTGTTAAAAGCAGTCTCTTTTACCCCCATGCAGGAATTAGATGAAAGCAGCCCAAGAAGACCCAACAATCCATACTCTGTGTCTAAAGCAGCTGCTGAGTGTCTTGTATTGTCCTACAGGGAGAGACACAAGGTAGTAAATACTGTCAACAGACGTAGCACAATTATAACCACGTTTTTCTGAGGCATGTACACATTTTTTGATTATTTGTATTAATATTTGCCTTTTTTCTTTCAGTTTCCTGTTATAATAACAAGGAGCAATAATATATATGGACCCAGACAGTACTTGGAGAAGGTCATCTATAGTATCCATATTCTATATCAGTGGTTCCCAACCTTTTTCGGTTACTATACCACCAACTGAATTTTGCTCTGCCCAGAGTACCCCTGAAGTACCCCCTCATTTGCATTTTACCAGTAGGCCTATGGTCTCATGAGTCTTCTCAAGTACCCCTGGTTGGGAACCACTGTTCTATATATTTATGTTGTGTGTCTGGTCTTTTAAGATGTCTCAACAAATGTTTGTTTTTTCCCCCTAGGTCATTCCAAAATTTGTATCCTTCCTTCAACTGAACAAAAAATGGTAAAGACTTCAACTTGACTGACATCATCCCAGACTATGTGGACATGTTTTACTTCATATGTTATCGTTTCGAATAAAGACTACATATCCCATGCTCCTCTCTGCCACAGTACCATCCAAGGGACCAGCCCCCAATCTCGCCACTTCCTGTATGTGGATGATGCCATTGAAGCATTCAACACCATCCTGGAGAGGGGGATGGTGGGAGAAATCTACAACATCGGGAGCGACTTCGAGATATCCATCATTCAACTAGCCAGAGAACTTATCAAGATGGTAGGATATCCATCATTCAACTAGCCAGATAACTTATCAAGATGGTAGGCTATACAGTGCATTCGGAAAGTATTCAGACCCCTTGACTTTTTCCACATTGTTACGTTACAGCCTTATTCTAAAATTGATTAAATTGTTTTTTTCCCTCATCAATCTACATACAATACCCCATAATGACAAAGCAAAAACAGGTTTTTAGACATTTTTGCAAATTTGTTACAATATCACATTTACATAAGTATTCAGACACTTTACTCAGTACTTTGTTGAAGGACCTTTGGCAGCGATTACAGCCTCAAGTCTTCCTGGGTATGACGCTACAAGCTTGGCACACCTGTATTTGGGGAGTTTCTCCCATTCTTCTCTGCAGATCCTCTCAAGCTCTGTCAGGTTGGATAGGGAACGTCGCTGCACAGCTATTTTCAGGTCTCTCCAGAGATGTTCGATCGGGTTCAAGTCCGGGCTTTGGCTTGGCCACTCAAGGACATTCAGAGACTTGTCCTGAAGCCACTCCTGCGTTGTCTTGGCTGTGTGCTTAGGGTCGCTGTCCTGTTGGAAGGTGAACCTTCGCCCCAGTCTGAGGTCCTGAGCGCTCTGGAGCAGGTTTTCATCAAGGATCTCTCTATACTTTTTTCTGTTAATCTTTCCTTCAATCCTGACTAGTCTCCCAGTCCCTGCCGCTGAAAAACATCCCCACAGCATGACGCTGCCACCACCATGCTTCACCGTAGGGATGGTGCCAGGTTTCCTCCAGATGTGACGCTTAGCATTCAGGCCAAAAAGTTCAATCTTGGTTTCATCAAACTCCAAGCGGGCTGTCATGTGCCTTTTACTGAGGAGTGGCTTCCGTCTGGCCACTCTACCATAAAGGCCTGATTGGTGGAGTGCTGCAGAGATGGTTGTCCTTCTGGAAGGTTCTTCCATCTCCACAGAGGAACTCCGGAGCTCTGTCAGAGTGACCATTGGGTTCTTGGTCACTTCCCTGACCAAGGCCTTTCTCCCCTGATTACTCAGTTTGGCCGGGCGGCCAGCTCTAGGAAGAGTCTTGGTGGTTCCAAACTTCTTCCATTTAAGAATGATGGAGACCACTGTGTTCTTGGGGAACATCAATGCTGCTGAAATGTTTTGGTACCGTTCCCCAGATCTGTGCCTCGACACAATCCGGTCTTGGAGCTCTACAGACAATTCCTTCAACCTCATGGCTTGGTTTTTGCTCTGACATGCACTGTCAACTGTGGGACTTTATATAGACAGGTGTGTGCCTTTCCAAATCATGTCCAATCAATTGAATTTACCACAGGTGGACTCCAATCAAGTTGTAGAAACATCTCAACGATGATCAATGGAAACAGGATGCACCTGAGCTCAATTTCGAGTCTCATAGCAAAGGGTCTGAATACTTATGTAAATAAGGTATTTTTGTTTTTTATTTCTTATAAGTTTGAAAAAAAATTCTAAAAACCTATTTTCGCTTTGTCATTATGGGGTATTGTGTGTAGATTGATGAGTAAAACAAGTAATTTAATCCATTTTAGAATAAGGCTGTAACGTAACAAAATGTGGACAAAGGGAAGGGGTCTGAATACTTTCCGAATGCACTGTATGTCAAACTGACCTTGGATCGGTGCTTAGGGGCCACACATCATTCTGCACCTAGACACAGGGGAAGGGACTGTGACATCATTCAACTAGCCAGAGAACTTATCAAGATGGTAGGATATCCATCATTCAACTAGCCAGAGAAGTTACCAAGATGGTAGGATATACATCATTCAACTAGCCAGAGAACCTATCTAGATGGTAGGATATCCATCATTGAACTAGACAGAGAACTTACCAAGATGGTAGGGTATACATCATTCAACTAGCCAGAGAACTTACCAAGATGGTAGGATATCCATTATTCAACTAGCCAGAGAACCTATCTAGATGGTAGGATATCCATTATTCAACTAGCCAGAGAACCTATCTAGATGGTAGGATATCCATTATTCAACTAGCCAGAGAACCTATCTAGATGGTAGGATATCCATTATTCAACTAGCCAGAGAACCTATCTAGATGGTAGGATATCCATTATTCAACTAGCCAGAGAACCTATCTAGATGGTAGGATATCCATTATTCAACTAGCCAGAGAACCTATCTAGATGGTAGGATATCCATTATTCAACTAGCCAGAGAACCTATCTAGATGGTAGGTAAAGTGTGTCACTCTGTAGTCCTCTTTACTGAGCCACTGAGACATCTGCTAATAGAGTGTGTTACAGGTCAGGCATGTACCTGATGCAGAACTGGACGACTGGCTGGAGTTTGTGCCTGACCGGTGAGTGAAGTATAAGGGGATCACACTATACACTTTTCAGAGCCTTTACTTCCTTTGGTTTCAATGGTGAAGACATGCTCTGGAAAGATAGGTGGGCTGTGTGATTGGCTCCCAAGACACTGACATTGTTGAAACCCCCCTCCCCCCAGGCCCGTGGTTGACCTGAGGTACCCTGTGAACTGTGAGAAGCTGTGGAGGCTGGGCTGGAAGCCTGCAGTGTCCTGGGCAGAGGGCATCAGAAGGACAGGTACAGTACATGAACACATTACTCTATGGATTCCTTATATTGACTTTCATATATTTTAGCACAAGGGTTGAATCTCTATAGTCTAAAGTGTCCTCCTCTCCTTCGTTTGTGTTTTTCACAGTCAAATGGTACCAAGAGAATCCAGACTTCTGGCCAGACGTCAAAGCAGAAGACCAACCGATTACCTATGAGCCCGATACCATAGACCAATAAGCACACAGATCCTCTTCCTGTATTCGTGGTCGCCAACCCTGCTCCTCGAGAGCTACAGGGTGTGCTGGTTTTTGTTCCAGCCCTGTATTAACACACCTGGTTCAATTAAATCACTGGGGCGGCAGGTAGCTTAGTGGGTAAGAGCGTTGTGCCAGTAACCGAAAGGTCGCTGGTTCTAATCCCCGAGCCGACTAGGTGAAAAATCTGTCGATGTGCCCTTAAGCAAGGCACTTAACCCTAATTGCTCATGTAAGTCGCTCTGGATAAGAGCGTCTGCTAAATGACTAAAATGTAAAATGTCTTAATTAGGGTTGTTGACCTCAACTCTAGTCCAACCATCATCTGTCACTGTGGGTGTGCAAGGGAACACTTGTATCATTTTTGTATTCATTTATTTTAATGAAGAATCAGGTGGAATGTAATATATTTATCATTGTCAATAAATAACATTAATATAGTGCCGACTTGAATGTTAAATATTAAGCTATGGACACATGCCTACACATGATATTCAAAGACAAAATACAAAACAGTTGGTTAAGTATTTGCAAGTCAAAACTTTTAATTTTGGTAAAATCATACAATAAATGCACAGAAGTCTTTTCTCGTGCAGTGCACAGCCTCTAAACTAGTACATAAAGCAAATACAAACTAATGGGCGACTCCGTGGCGTTCAGGGGAGTGTCTGGCCATCCGAAAGCACTTCAATCTCTCCTCTCTACAGCTTCAGATTTCCATTCATACGTTTCATCCAAACCTTTACTTTTCAGACTCATCAGTCAGCCACTGTTACTGTAAGACTCATTGATCCGGCTAAGACTCACCACACACTCCACAGAACACACACACACTGAGGCCCAAATATGCAAATACGACAACAGAGCAGAACCACATGTTTTTTTTCCTTAAGATTGCCATGTGCCAGACATTCGCTGGGAGAGGAAAAAAATACCTCAAAAACAAGGGAAAACAAATTGAATTGGAGAGAATCCGGACACTTTTTGCACTGGTACAATATTTTTTTTAGAAAATGGATTTTATCACTTTTATCCAAACCTTGGCATTGGTTTGTTTAGAATTTTGTTCGCCAATTAAACGTTAAGGTTGATTAGACGGTGTGACCATTAGGCCAGCATTAGAAGTAACAGGTGTGGATTGATTGAGTCCAATATGACTTTGACATTAAAAAGCTCACACTACCCCGAAAAATATAAATTTCCACGCATACCGGTGACATTCAACATTCAAGTGCCAGTGTTTTTGTACTGTCTTTTGGTCAAGTTTCTTAAACTATCACTTTTTAGGCTTATAAAAATAAATATTTCTCAAAAATGCTTAATAAATTACACAAACTAGCAGCAAAAGTAGAATCTAGTAATCTGTGTGCAAATAGCTCAATTCTCAGACTGCTACTGAACTAACCCCTGGTCCCAAATAAATCCTGGTTTAAATAGTGATAACCTTTCCCCTTTCGTAAACAAGCTGCGTTTTTCACAATCTCCTCACACACAAAATTCGGAAGCTTTAAGGACACACACACTCAAGACATTTATATAAAACTCTAGATGTGCAATAAAATGTTTTTTTTGGAAAACTTGATGGCCATTAAATAACATCACAAAGGGGCCTAGACCTAACTTAAGTAGCACCATTCAATCTTAAGTTTACACAATACTGTCAGTGCATCTGCTTCATAACCACCACGTCATTGTTATTTATTCAAAATGTCAAGGCACGACAGACACACTTTGAGAATATATATTTATCTATTGCACTTAAATGCCATTTTCTTGCCAAAGTTGGGCCTCCCTCCTATATAAGAAGGAAGCCTGGATGCCAGTTATAGTAGTAAACTGGCCAGTAGTTTTACATCAAGGCGGCTCAACCCTACCCCACAAAGGGAAGAATAGCTGCATTGGTTCTGTGTCAGTAATGAAGGCTAGATAAAGCACCCAGTCTTTGGCCGGGTCACGTGGGCTAGATTCACCAGCCAGCATACACAGGAAAACCTCATTGCCTCTTAAAATGGTGCACTGGTAAATAAACTGCACTTCCCATCACCCTTTGCTACATGTGCAGTTCAGTTTGCTCGCCTGTACATCGCTGACCCCTGAACCTTAACTTCTGACCTTTGACCTTCCTACGCTCTCCGAGGAGGAAGAGCTTGTGTCTTTAAACAGTTAACCCGAGAATGTCCTTCGGATTCGAACGCAGCTTGAAAAAGAGAACTAAATTAAGGTGTAAGAGAACAACGTTTTGTAATGAAATAAAAGCCTGCTGCAGAATTTCCTTTTGCATTTTTTAAAACTCCTTGACCAAAAAACAACAACACTTGCATGCGTATTTCATCCCGGGATGACCTTGACAAAAAGCAAAGCCACCCAGGTTACTGTGTGGTCCTATGGCAACCATTCGAACTTCACTTTCAATATGGCAAGCGCTGTTTAAGAATTGTTGACAATTTTAAGAAACATTCTCTCAGAAGGATGGATATTTGTCAATTGCCATCCTTCAAAATGTTTAAGTAAAAAAGCTCAATCAAAAACAAAATTCACCCACCAGGCAGCTAGAAGAAGTTGCTTCACTAGGTGCCACAATGCCAAGTCAATTTGTAAGTAGGGAACTGAAGTTTGAGCATCGAGTTGCTCAAATAGCTTGTATGTATGGACATACCATTTACATTTAAATATTCAATTTTAAAATCGTAGAACTGGAATGGCTCGTTTAGTGAAGACTACCATATTCCTCTCCAGGATAGAGTGAGCGAAAAATATTTTGAACTCTTTTTTTCCTTGAAGTGCACTTTTGTCACACAAGGGTTTGAAAACCTATAGTGGAATTCTCCTAGGATGGCTGCAACATGCGGTCGGAGCTAGTTTGAGCCATCAGATTACCCTGTGACAAATTTGAAGCTCAAATGGACAAATGACTCACTCAAAAGTCATGTCATCTCAGTGTTTGCCAAGGTTTGATATTTAGTTCAAGCTTATTTTGTTTTCCTTCCGAATAAAATAACAAAAACACATTTAAACCCCAAAATAAACAAAAATATATAATTTAGTTCTTGTTGGCCAGGTTTTAGCCAGTTATGACGCTTAAAATAAAATACAGATAAAACAAATCTAATTGTTAAAGGCACAGTACATTCACAGACAAATGATCCTCAGATTTTTTTGTTACAAAGAAAGAAAAAGCAGTTGTAGTGAAGAGAAAAAAAAAAAACTGCAAGTCCCAAGATCCTAAATACGCTATTGTCACTACAGGCGACCACACGATGATTCCGGAGCCTGGCGTTGCCATGTTTCTTTAGGAATCTCTCAGTGGCTCCAGCTGTCCTATTGGTCAGCTGTCCTCTCGGTCCCCTGTCTCTCAGCTCCATTTTTTGGAAAAGCGGTCAGAGAATCACAGCTGGTAATGTACTGCAGTCTGTTTGGAAGCTACACGGGGGTTTATATAGTCTGGCTTAGGTTACACATGTGGTTTCCTTATCAGTGAGTTTGGCGTGGCGCGGCCCACTGCGATGGTGGAGGGAGGAAGGAGGGTGGAGGTAGAGGGGGATAGGGTTGGAGGGATGTTTAGTTGCCCCACCAGTCCACTCCCCCCTGATGAGAGTAGTTTCCTCCATAGCCATCACTGCTGTAAAAGTTGCCTCCAAAGCCACCTGTGATGGGGGGGGGGGGTCAGGACAGTGTTAGAAAGAGAACAAGGACAGTGTTGCAGCATGGTTGGAATTAAACACCAACTCTTCGACTTGTGTCCTAAGAACTGTGGGATAGACCAACAGTAATATTTATGCCCAAATGTTGCTCCATTGTGAGGTTAACGGACTCTTACCACCGCCGCCGCCGAATCCACGGTTTCCTCCGTGTCCACCGGGCTGGCGTCCACCGCGACCCCCGAACCCTCCAGTGCTGCCGCCGCCACTGGTTTGACGGTAGTCCCTGGCTCCGAAGCCACCAGAGCTGAACCTAAACACAGAGAGGGTGAGTCAGTCAGTGATTAAGAGAGTGAAAGAGAATGTAACCAATAATGTCTTTAACCCCTAATACTTCTGCTCATTTATGTAGGAGTGTGTGTGTGTAAGCGTGTGTGTGTAAGCATGTGTGCGTGGGTAAGCATGTGTACCTCTTGGAGCGTCCGCGGGTGTTGCTCTTGTGCTGGTGTTCATAGGCCAGGCTCTCCAGCCAGGAGGGTACTTCCTGTTTGGCCTCCACCAGGATGTCCAGAAGGTCCTTGGTGATGTTGCCGTTCTTATCGTTGAAGAACGATGTGGCCAGACCTGGGAGAGGACAGGGTTCACCATGTTACAGTCAAGTAGTTATCTAAATAAAAAAAACATTGTGTTACGTTTTGCTGAGTGGTGAGTTCAGAGTTCTTGAACTTTGTAGAGGCGCTTACCCAGGTTGCCCACGCGTCCAGTACGGCCTATACGGTGGACGTACTCCTCTATATCGCTGGGCAGGTCAAAGTTGATGACGTGCTTCACGTTGGAGATGTCCAGGCCACGGGCAGCCACCTGGTAAAAGAGACAGTAGAATACAACTATATTTATCTTGTTTGAACAGAAGTTTGTTAGCTCCCTTTATAAAACGACCCCAACATGCAACCATATTGCAAAACAAGCGCCAGGCCTTGAACAGTAGGAGGCCAAAGAGCTACTGTGATTGGCTTTATAGTTTAACAGATATGTTTTACGCATCACAGAGCTGTAGAATTTAAACCAAAATGTCCGCTTGCTGACTCACCGCCGTGGCGACCAGGATGGGGCAGCGTCCCGAGCGGAACTGGTGCAGAGCCTCCTCTCGGTCCCTCTGGGAGCGGTCGCCGTGGATACTGGTGCAGGCGTAACCCTCGCGGTACAGGAAGTCCTCCAGGGCGTCCGCTCCCTTCTTGGTTTCCACAAACACCAGTGTCAGAGAGTTTTTACCTGGGGAAGAGAAGGAAGACAGGTGAGTCACTGCTTAACCTGGGCCCGCGTTCAATAGGGCACAACAATGTGGAATGTTCAGATTCTGTATAACAGACATGGCCTCCGTTTCTGACATGGAGTGTTAGCATCAGGTCTATTCGTGGCATTCCTATCTGCAACGTTCAGCGCTTGCTCAGTACCCTCCTAAACGAGCCCCAGGGAAGACATTACAAGTATGGAAACAACATCTACCCACTACCCCGTGTGGCTGTGGATCTGAGAGAGGAGGGGGGAGGCAGGGGATGAATCACCAGGGGTGTTTAGTGAGGAGAAACATCCATAGTGTTGCCAAGAGATGGAGGCTCTGGTATAGAAAAGCTGCTTATCTTAAGCTTTGTCGGGCTACTCGATAGTGAGTCATGATGCATGACGACCAGAGGGCTTCTTCAAAAGGTTTAAAATGTTACAGCACATTCAGATAGAGATATGTTAGAACATCCATGATTCTCCATCTGGTAGAATAGTGAAACATGTTATTGGTTTTCTACCTGCAGTGTACGTTTTGCAAGCTGCCATGGCCATCACAACAAAAGCATAAGCGTAGGAAATGGCATAGGGTTGCAGTAGCAAGCAGGATGTGGGCTAAACAAATCAACAGTCACCGATTCCCAATTCAAACCCCCACACAAAGGAGACAATACCCTTCAAAACAACAGTGAATGACCTCCCAATGACAACCACACTAGATGGCTGATCAGCACCAACGGGACCTTCTCGTCTGGACACAAATGGATGACTAATATGGGTAACCAATACAGGCCAAGCAATAAATCAATAAACAACTGAAATATGAAATGAGATACAAGCTTCTACATCCACTTTAGTAATAATAAATTCCTACTTACCAGGTTTCTCTATGTTTTCACCTGCATTGTCCTGAACTTCGCTCGGAATGACTTTGGATAAAACCAAACCCGATGATAAACTCATTGCAGTTTCAACAGTTCATAAGTGACATTAAAAAGGGGGGAGGCTAGCCAACAGAGTTCAGCAAACTCAATGGCCGCCATTAATGGTACCAACAAGTTCCAATACGACCCCATTATTAGAATGTTATTGTTGTGGAACATTTGGTGCCAACATGGAGGACGGTTTCCTGAACTCTGTGTGTACATGGCTCTGCATAGGAGTAACTGGGGTTTGGGGATACTAGGTAGGGTCAGTTTATGATAGCCAACATACCTAAGCTAAGGATAGAGTACAAGTCTTCACCTCACATCTAACCCTATGACACTACCAACACTGGGTCGCGTTCAACAGACACAAAAACTGCCCACTGAACACGACCCAGGCTTATGACCATCTGAAAGAACAGCATACCTAACGCAATCAATACTAGACCATCACAGCTGAATGGTTACCCATTTTCTAAGATCTATAGCTTACATCTAACAAGATTTAAAAACCAGGAACTATCCTAGTGTTAGGAGCAGGTGGAATCTGCTGGGAAGTTGTCCTATTAAAGACTTGTCTGCATATTCAATCAATGAAACAAATTACTAGGCTTCAGGATTTAGTTTGATTTCAATCAAGACAGCTGATTTGGGGAAATCCTGCCGTTGCAGATTCCACCTAGCCCAACATATTCACAAACACACAGGGTTTCTCAACTCCAGTCCTCAAACACCCACTGTCCATGCAGGTTTTCATTTCAAACAATCAAAGCGTCCTTCAGATAACTGAATGCCCTTACCAAGCACATCATATCAATGTATATAAAATTGTTGCTCAATTGGAGTAAAATCCAGAACACACAGTCAGAGAGTCCCCAGGATGAGCTTTGAGAAACCCTGCACTACCAGTAAAAGTTATAGTAAGTAACCCACACTAACACAGACGGGGACAGGAGAGGGGGTTGAGTCAGTGGCAGGTATAGTCGAGGTAGTTACCTGTAGCGTTGAGCAGGTCCAGGAGGAAGGACCTCTTGTCACCGTCCTCCACCCACACCACCTTCTGGGTGATGTTCTCGGAGGTGGAGCCCACGCGTCCCACCGCCAGGAAGATGTACTCCTCCAGGAAGTCACGCGCCAGGATCTGACAGAGGGGTTAGTGTTTAGTTGTAGAGCATTTGGAGCCAACATGGAGGATAGTTTATTGAATTAGTGTGTGGAGAGGTGGGTTAATACAGGACCATAGAGAGACAGGACAAATAACACCTTCCTTCTTTCCTCATTTAGCACAATACTTTTGACAAATACATAAGCATTTGTGGGGACTGGCGAGTAACAATTATTGTCCATGTACCATGATCTCCTTGGGAAAAGTGGAGTTTAACACGATGTGTGTGTGTATATATACCTGGATCTCCTTGGGAAAGGTAGCGCTGAACATCATGGTCTGGCGAACACCTTTAGGGGGCATGGTGTCCTGCTCCACAATGCGTCTGATCTGGGGCTCAAAACCCATGTCCAACATCCGGTCAGCCTCATCCAGCACCAGGTAGCTAACAGACAGACAGGTATTGGCTGTAGACATGTTTTCCCATCATAGTCAGACTCTGGGTGTGTAGGATTGCTTTCCTGCCCAGTAGGCCAACTAATCAATCGTTTGATAAGCTGCATCAGGAGAGTTAGTGCTGGGGTAAGCAATACGGTCTCAGCTCTTGCTTGCGCTCTGATAGACTAGGTGGAATGAATCATATTGCCCACATGTACGCAATTCATCTAGAGCTCTATTTGCACGGGACTAGGATTACTAGAGAACGTTATGTAATTATTACCCCAGAATGTCTTATTCCAGAGGACGATTCACATTTATTTTCCCAAACGGCCCCCTGTAATTCGTAATTTTTTCTCTCAATAAATTGACAGTTATGACGGAAGCCTGGAGGGTTTTTTCTAGGCGTGAAGATATTTCAACATGTCCAGGTGAAAACAGGCTACACTGACAACTACAGCTTGGCTCCCAAGTTCCTAAACCATACCAAACCACCTTTGGATTGAGGAAGTGCGATCATAATCTTTAGGATATTTTAGCGATCCGCAGTAGATGATGTCCTAAATGCCCCCCAGCCTGCAGATGGGAGCTAAACAGCACACTTGAGATGCATTTTTAGGCTATGGATGAGAAAGTGAACTTGTCACTTCCAAAAGTTTAGCTCAGTTGTAATGCTGCTTTGCGATCTATTAACAGCAAGGGTTGCATTAAATATGCAACAACAACATTTTCAGACGCATTTCTCGATATTCAATTCATTGGCACAAAACCTATGAACAAAAGCATTCACTGTGAAAGTTGATACAGGCCCTTCATATATATATGCTACGTGCAACACTTTATGTTAAACAATTTAACTAATCAGTTATTGTTTTCTTGCTCAAACCACAAGCAACACCTGTCAAACTCCAGACATTTCTCTCACAAGACAGGGATGTCAATTGACACAGGACTAGTATTATCAGAGGACCTTGGAGTTGGTCCAAAGTTTTTCCGGCTGGATTTATTACTCTCCTGCTATGTAAAAATGACCGACATGGAAGATTCGGACGGGACTTAAATTACGGATGTGGCAATTTGTGCTTGTGCACATAATTACATAACCCTATCTCCCCTAGTAAAACGAATCCAATGCGAATAGGGCTTAGGTTATTAATCTAGGTAATTCCTTTACGTAAAATGTCTAGTGACTTTTCAAAACCAATGAAGTCAAGAACCAAATGTTATGTCTGGGACAGCTCAGTTTGTCACCAATACAGACTGATTGTTGTAAGTCTACTCACTTGCAGTAGTCGAGGCCAATCTTGCCTCTCTCCATCATGTCCACCAGGCGTCCAGGTGTAGCCACCAGCAGGTGACAGCCTCGCTCTAGGTCTCTGATCTGCTGGCCGATGTCAGCCCCTCCGTACACCACACAGGGACGCACACGGGACCGGTACGCAAACTACAGCAGGAGAGCAGGGTGGAAGAGAGGAGATGAAGGAAAGATGAAGTAAAGGAGAGGTAGAGAGAGCAGGGAAGATGGAGGGGAAATGGGGGAATTGATATAGGGGCAGTAAAAAGAAAGAAGGGAGAGGGTGAATATGGGGTACAAAGAGAGAGAAGGCAGGGAAAGGGTCGAGAAAGGAGAACACAAACAATGATTGTGTGTTACACTGCAGTTCCCTGATCCCAACCTTGGCTGGTTGGCCGTCAACACAAAAACACAGAGACAAAGAGACAGAGGCCCCCTGGCAGACGGCTACCGACCTAGCTGCTATTGATGCTGATGGGATGTATGTCCTCTCTGTGTGTGGTTACACTGTGTGGGTGGGTCAGCATGCATGTGTATTGCTGAATATCCTCTTGTGTGAGGTGGATGTCCCAGGTGAGAGGGGTGCAGTTGGTTACCTTTCTGGCCTCTTCGTAGATCTGCAGGGCCAGTTCTCTGGTGGGGGCCAGGACCAGAGCGAGGGGGTACTGCTTACGGCGACCATACTTTCCATTGTCCTGTCCTCCAGACTTCTGGGCAACCACAGCTTCTCCTGGCCCTTCAGTGTAGATCTGACTCAGTACAGGCAACAGGAATGCTGCAGTCTTACCAGAACCTGAGAGACCACAGTTTATATTAGTCATATACCTATACTTAAAATCAAACTACAGTACAATACATTTGTTGTACATCATATTTACATATAGCTCTCCAGACCAATCCAATTTAGAGTGGTTCTGGTTCTAGTTTGTTCTGGTTCTAGTTTGTTCTGGTTCTAGTTTGTTCTGGTTCTAGTTTGTTCTGGTTCTAGTTTGTTCTGGTTCTAGTTTGTTCTGGTTCTAGTTTGTTCTGGTTCTAGTTTGTTCTGGTTCTAGTTTATTCTGGTTCTAGTTTATTCTGGTTCTAGTTGTGGTTCTAACCTGTCTGGGCGCAGGCCATCAGGTCCCTCTTGTTCTTGATGATTGGAATGGCGTACTTCTGGACCGGAGTGGGCCGATTGTAGCGGGTCAGGGCAATGTTACTCATGATGATCTCTCCCATCTCTATGTCTTGGAACTGAAATACAAAAACAAACCACAGTCAATCAAATGAATGCCAAACAGTTTTCACTCAACTGTGTTTCAGCGTCCCTGCCGGTAGTGGGGGGGGGGGGCCAGTATAGTAGGAGACAGGTCACTGTGTGCAGGGGGAACAACACAGCACCACACAAGCTGCTCAGTAGATCCTTTGGGAAACGTTTCTGGTTTTGAATACTACTAACAAAATGCTGACTAATACAACATGAGGGCTTCTGGACTTGAGACAGGGTTAGTTGACTAGAATACATGGGGACTCACGCTGTCAATGTGATGGGGGCAGTTTTGGCCAGTGGCCTCAACGGGAATGTCGTCGTAATTGTCAAAGTTAATCCCTGTGTTGCCTCCAGCGAACAGCTCCCTGGGGAGAAGCAGAAACACGGAGTTCAGGAAAGCGACAGAGAAAGGTCTACTTGATCATTTTAACGAGAGGGGATATTGATAAAGGACAGGGATAGTGATGTATCGTAAAATGACATTGGTAACTCCTCATTGTTGCAGAAAGGGGGTGGGGTTAGGTTACTACTCACTGTTCCAGGCGCTCATTGGCCTGAGTGGGTTTGGACCAGTCCTCGTCATCCCTGGACTCCTCCACCCAGCGTCCGTTTCCACTGCCTCCGAACCCTCCACGCTGGTAACTGTCAACCACAACATAACCATAGGGGTCAGGAAAGCTAGCTTGCTAACGAGTTGACTCATGGTACAGCACTGAACTCTGAGGAACCTGAGAGCTGTCTAGAATTGGCTAAGGACTTGAATTCTCTAGTCATCTCACCTTCCTCGGGACGCACTCCCGCCGTTGTTGAAGAAAGCAGACTTCCCCCTGTCGGGACGTGCGCTGAAGCTGGTGTAGGCGTCTTTAGCCGTGTTCCAGCCGCCGCCATCTTTGTTGTCGTAGACGCCGAACACGGCAGCGTTCTGCATGGGCTGGACCGGGTTGTAGGACCCGCCCCTGCCGCCGCGGAAACCTCCGCCGCCCCTGCCTCTCTCCATGCGAGGCGGGCCGCTGTTGTACCTGTTGCCCCCATTCATGCGGTTGTCATGGTAACCATTTTGCACAAAGCCGTTGTTGCGTCCGCCGTCCCAACCTCCAAGCGCATCTTGGGTAAAAACAGAAAAGAAAAAGGGGGGAGACATGTTGGGTGACTTTCATAGTACAAATGGGTTTATTCCGCATACGCAGTCAATACAATACTTTGTTTATTGGTCCATTTCACAGATATTCCTTAGTTTTTGCTGTCACAGTACCCAACCTGACCGACAACACAGGCTGGGAGCAACACAGGGGCAGCGGCAGAGCAGCACATAGAGGTAAAGTGCCTTGCTCAAGGGCACAACGGCGGTTGGCAGTAATGGACCCTGTAGGAAAAGAGATTTGGACCAAGTAGGCCTAGTTCCATTTCAGCCACTAGCTACTTCCCCTTAGCCTTTCTATGTTCACAGATTAGAAAGACCTGGATGGCTGTAAGAAACGTGTTGAGGTCCTTTATAGCTAGTAGGGGTTAGGGGCAAAATGGAACCACGCCCTTCTTGGTTCCTTTGACTTTCACATCCCAGACACCCACCAATTGTTACCGCATGGATGCCTCTGAAAAGGGAAATATGTGTGTGTCAGTTACAACACAAAGTGTACTGTTACAACATAGCTACCAATATCCCAGAACTTAAATTTAAAGGACCTGGCTCATTTTCTCAGTAAACGATGATGAGCAATACATACAATAAACGTACAGTCTTCACAAGTCAATCATTTGGCTCATTAACTAGGGTCCCGATTAAGGAACATTCTTTATGCAAGCAGCATTAATTTCCTAATACCTACCACTTTAAATTCCACACACAAATAAATAGAAACCTTGCAATTAAGCAGTGTGTTGGAATGACATAGCTAATGGAGGCTGTTTTTGTTTGAACAAAATGTAAGCATGTGAGCGGATGCCAACACCCTTAATGCAGGAAAAAGCCAGTTTCACCCATGGGAATTTGGTTTTAAATATGTAATTTGAGAGCCTCCAGTCCCCTTGTCGAAAAGCAGCGTGGCCTTGTTTTCTAATGGAATTGAGTGAGACCAATTAATTAAAACATGCAGAATAAAATAAAGATAACATTTAAAATAAAATAAACGCCAGAGCTTCCCTCAGCCAAAGAGCGGTCTGAAAAGGGACTTACAGCTTCTTGGTGCCATTGACAAAGCACTCGGTCTAGAGAAAGCATCTGCTGTAAGAAAAAGAAAAAACCAACACAATGTCATGGGGGGGAGGGGGGTAATGAAAAAACAGGCTTCCTGATGAAAACATGCTGCTGATGTACTGCGAATGGTTGCCTGTAAGAGCATGAAAATGGTTTGTCAAAGCAGTTCCCAGATGCTGTCACAAAATGGACTCTAGGACATTGGACAAGCACGGTTTTCTCTTTCTTCCTGTAGTGTGATTTGGGATGAGATAAAAACAAGCGGCTGGCTATATAAGATGGGGATTTTAACGCAACTGTTTGTTTCAAACTGGTGGAGAAAATCAACACATCCTGGTCACACTCTGACCTTGTCCCAGCCCGGCGTGAATAAATTGTCAAGATAAAACTAAAGCTAATTGACTTCTTTTTAGTTCAGGGAATTTTACAGCATTGTTGCTAGCTCAATCAATTTAGTGAAACGTTTATTATGGGTCACTACAATGCATTACGGCATTATTGACCACTAGGGGGCCAGGGCATTTTAATGGTGTCCAACTGGCATACCTCATAGAGGTGGTAGTGTTAATGGGGGGGGACACTTACCATTTTTGGAAGCCTCTTGGTTCCGTAAATGAGGTGGAATGTAACAGGTCCCTAGAGAGACAGACTTGTGAACACAAGGGCAGTACTGTACACAAACTGACAAGCACTTCACAGGTCTAATGGGTTCCTAGTCTTATTCTAGGGATGTCTCAATCCCTTAAATTTAATAGGGATTAATTAGCCTATCTGGCCTGTTTGATTAAAAAAATTTTTTTTTACAATCTAGTACCCCAAATGAGGAACTGAAATCTTAAATGCCGTTTATGCTATTTCATAAATGATAAGAGCATGAATTGGCTCAAAATAAATAAGTGAATTTAAAATCCTTTGATGGCATCTTAGACCTAAATGAACACTGGAGATGCGAGGCAGTCCCAATAGTTTAAAGCTCCATACACTAGTCTCTTTCCCACAAAGGCCAGTGATGTCAGGACTGGGATGTTTCGTGGGCCTGTGATTGGACGGTACCAATCTTTCCTTTTCTATCATTTATCTGCAGATTCCTGCAGAATACCAACTCAGCTCGACTTCAGACCACTTCTGAGGTCTGAAAACAGTTTTTGACTTTGGGGGGATGAACTAACTATCCATTAAAAAGGCCATCTGGTGGGGTTATTTTCAGTCCTTGAACCACCCAATGGCCCTGAAGGAAAGGAGAAGAGTGAGGCCTGCTTCAGACCAAGTGATCATAAAAGAAACTGATCACCATAACACAACCTAGATGTCCTTTGGCTCAGAGAGTAGAGATTACTTACTGCCAGTGCCCCCGCCCTGCCCGTCAGCATTGTTCAAGCCTAGGACAGCAAGCTGAAATAGAAAATGAAACGCAGTTAAGTACTACGGTAAACACTGTTACGGATAAATGTAATTCTAAACATGCATATGGGACAGTAAGCTGCAAGACAAAGGGTGACACTTTATTTGGATATTCCATCTATAGATGCTCTACAGTAACATTTCAACTAACCCAACACTTATCCTAACCCTAAACATTTAAGTCATTTAGCAGACGCTCTTATCCAGAGCGACTTACAAATTGGTGCATTCAACTTAGGATAGCCAGTGGGACAAGCTATATTTATTTTTTTTAATGGGGGGGGGGGGGGGGGGGGGGGGGTAGAAGGATTACTGTTATACTATTCCAGGTATTCCTTAAAGAGGTAGGCTTTCAAGTGTCTCCGGAAGGTGGTCAGTGACTCCGCTGTCCTGGCGTCGTAGGGGAGCTTGTTCCACCATTGGGGTGCCAGAGCAGCGAATAGCTTTGACTGGGCTGAGCGGGAACTGTGCTTCCGTAAGAGGTAGGGGGCTAGCAGGCCAGAGGTGGATGAACGTAGTGCCCTCGTTTGGGTGTAGGGTCTGATCAGAGCCTGAAGGTAAGGAGGTGCCGTTCCCCTCACAGCTCCGTAGGCAAGCACCATGGTCTTGTAGTAGATGCAAGCTTCAACTGGAAGCCAGTGGAGTGTGCAGAGGAGCATGGTGACATGAGAGAACTTGGGAAGGTTGAACACCAGACGGGCTGCAGCTTCCTGGATAAGTTGTAGGGGAGCCCAGCCAACAGCGAGTTGCAGTAATCCAGACGGGAGATGACAAGTGCCTGGATTAGGACCTGTGCCACTTTCTGTGTAAAGGTAGGGTCGTACTCTGCGAATGTTGTAGAGCATGAACCTGCAGGATTGGGTCACCGCTTTGATGTTGACGGAGAACGACAGGGTGTTGTCCAGGGTCACGCCAAGGTTCCTTGCACTCTGGGAGGAGGACAAACCTTACCCTAACCTTAGCATGCAGTTGCTTATCAACAGATAGTGACCATCTGTAGAGATGCACTATCCAAATAAAGTGTGACCCAAAACTGTTGATCTCCAGAAAGACATGCATATCCCTTATACTAAAGTGCTTCCCCCATTACACATATGTGAAGCAAGGAACTCCCCTGTCTAGTTTTGTTGCCCCCCACCACCTCAATCCAATTACAGTAGTAGTTTCAACTGTACATTTTGCAGAGCAGTCAACTGTGGGTGTACCTTTGCAAGCAACCAGAGATACTTTCTCACAAGGTAGACGCCCAAAACTGCCAATAGGCTACAGGAATGCAGACCCAAAACGAGGGTGTTAGGTGACGGAACAAATAATGGACGCTATGTGAGAATATTTAAAAAAAATTAAACGCAGTAAACAAATCTGTTTTCACTAAGTGTCAATGTGGTCGTCAAAATACATAAATCGGTTTTGAAAACAAACATTGGCAGTAGAATGGCCTTACTGAGGAGCTCAGTGACTTTCAACGTGGCACCGTCATAGGATGCCACCTTTCCAACAAGTCAGTTTGTCAAATTTTTGCCCTGCAAGTCTTGCCCCGATCAACTGTAAGTGCTGTTATTGTAAAGTGGAAATGTCTAGGAGCAACAACGGCTCAGCCGCGAAGTGGTAGCCCACACAACCTCACAGAATGAGACTGCTGAAGCGCGTAGCGCATACAAATTGTCTGTCCTCGGTTGCAACACTCACTACCGAGTTCCAAACTGCCTCTGGAAGCAACGTCAGCACAAGAACTGTTCTTTGCAAGCGTCATGAAATGGGTTTCCATGGCCGAGCAGCCGCACACAAGCCTAAGAACACCATGCGCAACGCAAAGCATCGGCTGGAGTGGTGTACAGCTTGACGCCTTTGGACTCTGGAGCAGTGGAAACGCGTTCTCTGGTTTGATGAATCGTGCTTCACCATCTGGCAGTCCGACGGACGAATCTGGGTTTGGCGGATACCAGGTGAACGCTACCTACCCGAATGCAGTGCCAACTGTAAAGTTTGGTGGAGGAGGAATAGTGGTCTGGAGCTGTTTTTCATGGTTCGGGCTAGGACCCTTAGTTCCAGTGAAGGGAAATCTTAACGCTACAGCATACAATGATATTGTAGACGATTCTGTGCTTCCAACTTCATGGCAACAGTTTGGGGAAGGCCCTTTCCTGTTTCAGCATGACAATACCCCCATGCACAAACAGAGGTCCATACAGAAATGGTTTGTCGAGGTCGTTGTGGAAAAACTTGACTGGCCTGCACAGAGCCCTGACCCAACCCCATCGAACACCTTTGGGATGAATTGGAACGCTAACTGCGAGCCAGGCCTAATCGGCCAACATCAGGGCCCGACCTCACTAATGCTTGTGGCTGAATGGAAGCAAGTCCCCGCAGCAATGATCCAACATCTAGTGGAAAGCCTTCCCAGAAGAGTGGAGGCTGTTATAGCAGCAAAGGGACTAACTCCATATTAATGCCCATGATTTTGGAATGATTAGTAGCTTTCTGTGTTACAGTTCAGACTTAGTGAGAAGTGTGCGTCTGTGTTAGGCTGTGTGTGTGTGTTAGGC